CTTCTTATTTTTTCTTGGACAGGATTTCTTTGTATAGCCCTGACTGCCGGCAACTAGCTTTGTAGACCAGGTTGGCCTCCAGGGATCCACCTGCCTCTGTCTCCTGAGTACTGGGATTAAAGACATGGGCCACCACCGCCTGGCAGCCTGCAGGTTTTTAATATTGCGCCATGGATACCGCAGATGGTGGGTCTCTACTCTCAGGAAGCACATGACCTTGTCTGACAAACAAAAGGTCACGGGGAAAGCTATGGATGACTAAATACCTTGCACTGTGGTGGTACTGGCGTACTAAGTCGATGCCCGAGCGTGGGCTGGCGTGCTCAGGAAGCTGGCCTGATGAAGGTAAAGGGCACAGTGGAAACAAGGAGATGCATTCCAGGTAGAGGAATTATTCTTATAAGAGGCCACAGTGGGGACCTGCCTGCTCAGTGTGTGGTGGCCTTCCCACTGGCTCACCTACAGAGAGTCTCTTAGGAGGGTTATGGGAGGGAGAAGATGACCTTCAAAGGTCACTGTGCTTATCTTTCTGTCTTTGGGCAGAAGACCTGCCAGTCACCAGGAAGTCTCCAGGCACTTGGACATTATCCAGTTCCTCTTGGGTCGGTGATATGTATAACACCCTAGCGCCCATATGGTTGGTTCTTGTTTGCGGTGTGGTTTCCACTCTCCGGCACAGGAAGACAGCTCCCAGAGCCATGAATCCAGGCCACACTAAGGTGAGGCCAGTCCGGCAAACAGAGGAACGGCTCTGCCTGGTAGGGATATGACATGCCAGTAGTAACCAGCCAACTGCACTCTCTACAGGGAAGTAGATGCGAGGGTTTGGACAGGTGTCTTCAAAGACCGTGAGTCTTTAACTTGTGGCGCTCTTGGGAGGTCTTGGGACCCTGGCCCCTTCCTCTCGAATTCTGCTTCCCAGCCACTATGAATGTGAGCAGCTTCCTCAGCCACACACTCCCTGCCATGATGTACTGCCCTACCGCAGGTCCAAAGGACCACTACCCGAAACCTTCCAAGCTGTGAGCCCAAACAGAGCCTTGCTCATAAACTGACCACCTCAGGTCTTTTGTCATAGTAACAGCTGACTAACACAGTAGGGATGTTGTTGACCTCAGGGATGGGTGACCTCAGGGGATTATGCCAATTCCTCTTACTCTGTTGCTCCACGAAGCAGGACAACACAGCCTGAAATTCTGGGGCCTGAAGAGAAACGGCTGGACTCAAACAGTGACAGTGAACCTTCCATGGAGTCCAGCACTTATCCTTTGCCAGACCATTCCTTCCCCAGGACTCCTTAAAGATGCTAAGTCTGAGCCCCTAAACCCAGGATGGATGGGGAGCAGGAAGGCCGAGGCGAGGGGTGTGATGGGCTAAGAGTGGGGGAATGAATTCTTTAATCCTCGAGAGTGTCTGTTCCAGACTGCTTCTGAACTCCTTGGGTTAGGCCTGAAGAGAAAGGCCACATGACCTTGTCCCTAGCCCAGACATACCCAAAGTAGGCCAGATTCTCCTGGTTGCCATGAGAACACATCTTGATTGGCAGTGCCAACAAAATTTCACACACTTGATAGCATTTGCTCTGCTCAGTACCCAGGATCCCTCTTTGGGAAAGGAGGAAACACAGCTCAGGGAGTTACCACTGGGCCCAAGGTCGCAGCAGACCAGAACCAAAGGCAAGTCACCCAGGCTTGATCCTTGGCCCCAGGCCTTTCTCTGTTCACACTCTTCCTAAAGGGAAAAGGACGGCTCTGTGATCCTTCAAGGCAACTGCCTGGCATTGCTGCCTGCACCCTTTGAACGGTGCGAGGCCTTGCCACAAATGATAAGCTGGAGAGTCTCCAAGCAAGGAAACGCTCCCGGAATCCTTCAAGTGGAACCAGCAGCCATAATGCATCAGCTCATCGTGAACTGCCACACGTGGTTCTGGACTATCTCTACATGCGAACCACAAAGCAGGGGGAACGGAGGGACGGGACACGAGCAGTGATTCCAGTCGTGGGCTCTCACAGATCGTGCTCACGGGGCTCCGTGCAACTCTTCCATTCTTTGCAAGATCCCGTGCGTCTGTCTGAGGAGAGCGTGTGAGGTTCTTCCGGAGCCTCAGAAAGATCAAGGACCCAGTCCTCGAGGATCACAGGAGGTACGGACCAATGCTTCCTCTAACCCTGTATATGCTCTGAACACACAGAAATCCAGTGTCCACCCCTCGGGAGCAGCTCAACTGGAAGAATGTTTGCCTGGCATGCACAAGGTCCGGAGCTTGGTCTCCAGTACCAAATAAACTGGGTGTGGTGGCTCGTGCTTGTAACCCCAGCACTTTGGGGTGGAGGCTAGAGGATCGGAAGTTCAAGGTCATCACTGGCTACATGATGAGTTAGGGGCCAGCCTGGGACATATGAGACCTTGCTTCAAAAAACCAAAACCCCAAACCCAAACATTTAGTGCCAAATATGTTATCAACTATAGGAGAAAGTACTACGTGAACAGAGGGTGGTCAAAACTGCCCCAGCTCCCGCCAGGCGGAAACTATAAGACGAAAATAGTATCTGGGGGGAGAACCACCTCAGACTGCAGCACAGATCTGGCTAGACATGCCGCTAGCTGGTTTCAGGGTCCTAGAAAACACCCTTCTCATTAGTCACAGGCACTGGGCCATCCCTGGGCTCCACTCCCACATGCTTAAGGCCAATGACCATTTCCTGGAAGGGCCCTGATCCCCACATTACAGGCAACACAGGGCGGCTCTCCAGGTCCACAGCCCTCATTGTCAGTGACAGGGTAAGGGAGCCCCAGAAAAGGGGTGAAGTCTAATTAACCCTGCCTCTTCCCTTTAGCCCTCCCAGGCCCGTGATTGGAGAGGTGCCAGGAATCCAAAGACACACAAGCAGGAGACCCTAAAGGGAGAGGCCCAGGTTCCCACAATGCACTGTGTCATTACACCAGATACCCAAAACATCTGCCTCCTCCAGTGGGCTTCTAACTAGTGCTTGCCAACTCTACCTTCATTTTTCTCCCTACCCCTCAAGCAGCGCCTTCCAGGCTTTGGTATTCTTCCGAGCAGCATTCCCAGGACTGGGGAAACAGCATGTAATTCGCACAACCCTCTTACTGTGTATTTCGAAAATGGCTTATGATGGTCTGGAAAATCCATTTTCTGTGTGAAAGCGACAGGGTTACCATGGAGGCCATACAAGGTTGGCTTCTAATTTTCCAAAAGACAGAGAAAATACACACCACTAAAAGTTATGTGGTGTAAAAATGTCATCTTTCTTTGCTGATTCAACCCAGGAAAAATACCTGAGGATCCAGTGGCCTCTGGGGCATCACTGTGGATGTTCTTAGGAAAAGCAGAGGCAGAGGTGGAAGCTAAGCCTACATCCTCCCAAGTCCCCTCGTCTCTCTCTACTTCCCTCTTTCGAAGTGCACACACCTCAGGAACAAACTCCGGAGGAACATCCTAAGGGTGTGAGGGAAGCCATGGTACAGAATCCAGGGAGATGTGGATCCAATCAGAGACTCTAGAAGCTCCTCCCAGGAAGTTGTTCCTACAGCCTCTTCTATCAGTCATGGGAAAACCTCACAAAGGTCAGCTGAGGTTCCCCTCCCCTATCGGCAGCAGACTGCCTATCTACGGGGGTCCTTCAAGAATACAGGGTCCGTGTGAGTCCGGGCCACAAAGCCAGACCAAAGCAATCTGATGACCGTTCTGCAAAGCACTTATGCACCCTCCTGCCCCTGCCACTCAACAAGACCCTGTAGCACAGACTACCACGTTCCCCAAAGGCAAACAAAAACTAGAGAGGCGGGTGACAGCATCAGCCCTTGAACTGAGGAAGGGACCAGATCTGTAGTTTGCTCCTAACCAGTGGGTGAGGGCAAGACTGAGGTAGAGCACAGGCGGCCTCCGTCTCTGCTGGCCAAGAAACCAAGCCTAGCTTTATACTGGCCAAGACTTCGGCAGGGGCTCAAGGCGAGGACCAGCCAAAGTTAGGGAAGGTGAAACCACCATACACAATATCTCCGGGTGGCAACGACCTAGGGACTAAAATCTTACCAGTCCTAGGGACATGGCCCAGAAGCTGGCTTTAGCAGAAAACTGTGCATTCCCTGGGGACCCTTGGAAGAGGGTGATAGGCAGTGGGCAGAGGAAGAGAGCCCTGGCCCAGACCAGGCATACATTTCTGTATCCTCTCTTACCAGCGAACCCAGGGGACCTGTGGAGGAGAGGAGCAGGGACAATGGTCCAACAGGTCCCCTTCACCAGCCTCGCTGGGTCAGCCTTCCTCGCCCTAGCCTGAGGCCCCAAATTCAGCGGGAACACAGAGGCACCTGCTGCCACACTGCTCCATCCCCGCGGAAGGGGGGACCCTGGGCGGTGCCGCCGGGCGCTCTCGTGTCCCCCTCCAAACCCCCCTCCGCTGCCGCCTCTTCGCAGGGGCGGGGCGCTCCGGGAGCCGCCGCGCCCCCCCCCCCCCCCGTCTCCCCCTCCCCGCGCTCACCTGGCGCAGGTGCTGCAGCAGCGTCCCCGCCTCCTCCCGCCGGCCCTGGCGCACCATCCGCAGCAGCTCCTGGACCATGCCGACGCGCCGGTGGTAAGGGGGCAGCCCAGCGCCCGCGCGCCCCGCCTTGTCCCCGGCGCGCAGCAGCAGCGACGCCCAGAAGTCGGGTCGTTCGCGGCGGGGGCCGGGCGCCGCGCCCGGGCTGGCTCTCTCCGCCAGGCTGCCCTTGGTCTGCCGAGTGCCCATCCCGCCGCCCGCCCGGGGGCTGCGCGCGCCGGCCCCAGGCCGCGTCCCCCCCCCCCCCCCGCCGGCTGCGCGCCTCCCCGGCGGCAACTTTGGGGGAACTGTTGCGCGCGGGAGGCGCGGGGCGGGGGCGGCTGCGGCCCGCGCTCCCCTCGCTCCTCCCTCCTCGCTGCCCCGGCGCGCTCTCCCGGCGCTCGCCGCCAGCCCGTCGGCCCCGCCCCGCCCCGCCGGCTGCCCCGCCCTCGCGCCGCCGCCGCCGCCGCCGCGTGTCTCCCGCCCTCCCCGGCGCCCGCTCCTTCCCGCCGCGCGGCTCTGGGCTGGGGGTGCCCGGCGCCCCCGCCCTGCATTGTCCCCGGGGCAGCGCCCCCTGCCGGCCACCGTGCTGCGCTTTTGGGGGGCCCGCGGCGCCCTGGCAAAGGCCGTTGAGCCCAGCCCTGAGTTCCCCGACGCTTCCATGACCGCGCGCGAGGGTGAGGCCCGGGGGTGGTGTGGCGGTGGGAGGAGGAGGAGGAGGAGGACGAGGTCGGTGCGCCGAGCGAGAGGGGCAAACTTCGGAACTTGGAGACCCTGTTCGCCCCCGAGTCTGGTTTTTCTCAGAGTGGGCTCCGCAGAGAGAACCAGTACTGCGGATTGTCCGAGGTGCTGGTTGGAAGCGCAGCATCGCAGGCCTTGGCTCCGTGCCCGCTGAATGAGTCTCTTCTCGGGGCCTCTGGAAATGTGCATTTAGCTAGCATCTTGGGTGGTTCCGATGCTCACTCCTTGGAGCCCCGGTGGCTTTCAGGGTGCGGGTCGTTGATGGTGGCTGGTGCACGGACTCAGACCCGGATACTCTGAGCTGTTTTTTGTTTTTGTTATGTGAAGTCTGCATTCTTGTTCTCCCTCTGCTGCGAGGAGACCTTTAGGTCGTCCTGCTCCTTCAAAGCGGAAATGTGGCTTCTAGTTTGTACGTTCCTGTTGCCCGGGTTTCTTCTGCCAACCGCCAACCCATGGTGCTTGGATAAGGCACTTTAGCAGGCCTGTGGCTGCCCTGTTCTTAGCTGTAGAAGGGTCAGCAGTTTTGTTAGCTCTTGGCAAGTCCGCTTTAGGCAAGAGGGCTGGAGTCTACCACCTGCTGAGCCATGACAAGGAAAGCCTTCGCTGCGCTCTCCTGTCTTTCTCTCTGTCGGTCTCCGTCTCTCTCCCTCCCTCCCCCGCCTCCTGTTTTGTTTGGCAAGGTTTCACACTGGTCTGAACGCCCTAAGGAGGCTAGTTTGCCTGGCAGGAACCGACCTATCTTCCACATTTTTAGCCTAGGATTGTTAGGTGAATGCTACCACACTTGAGGTGTTTGTAAGACAGGTTACATTATGTATCTCTGGCTAACCTTGACCTTTTTGTGTAGACCAGGCTGGCCTTGACATAGATCCGCTTGACTGCCTTCTGAGTGCTACAATTAAAGGTGTGGGGCTGGAGCTGGAGAGATGGCTCGGTGGTTAAGAGCACTGAAGGGGTCTAATAGAGGACCCAGGTTCGGTTCCCAGCACCCATGTGGTCCAGCTCACAGCTGTCTGTAATTCCAAGATCTGGGAGACTGCAGGCAACACACCGATGCACATAAAATAAAAATTATAAAGGTGTGGGGCATTTTTATTTTTAAATTAAATCTAAATTTAATTAATTTTTGGATTTTTTGAGACAGGGTTTCTCTGTGTAGCTCTGGCTGTCCTGGAACTCACTCTGCAGACCAGGCTTGAACTCAGAGATCTGCCTGCCTCTGACATCGCCCCCCCTCAACCTCAAACGCTGGGATTAAAGGTGTGTGCCATCAACCACCCGTATAAATTTAAGTTTAAAATTTAAATCAATTAAAAATTTTATTCTTTTAAAAATAGGTTACGGATATCAAACTCAGGTCCTGCTTGTAAGCATTTTACTGATTGAGCTGTTTCTCAGTCCAGTGGAAACTTTTTTTTTTTTTTTTTGGAAAAATTATGTAACGACACTTGTTATTTGGGACCATCCTCTGGGTTTGGCTCTAGGGGAGAGAGACCTAGCTTGGTTCTGAGTTTGTAGCGAAACAGCCGGGTGGGTGTTGATGGATGGAAAATGACTCAGAGGAATCACCTTTGATAAGGGGACTCTGGCTAAACTGGCCTAACAGAATTGCTGAAGACAGAGTGAGTCAACATCCCCTGTAGACTGGTAGAGGATGAAAAACCTCATCAAACATTGCAGGTGACCAGCCATCCGGAGTTCTTCCTAAACTGACTTGAGAAAACGCTTTGCTGAAGCTGGATGCTCGAAGGGCATGCGTGGATGGGCCTGGAAGAGGGTTCAGGAGCCTGACAGGTTTGGCCAAGCAGAGACTCTCCTCGGTAGATGAACTCAAGCAGAGGTGTGGTAGAAGTGAGAGTTCTCTTCCTTCTTCCCAGAGGTGTCTGTCTTCTCTGCCTGGAGGAGGAGGCCTTGGGTCTCCCCAAATTCCTTTTGCCGACTCTCAGGTGTTCTTTGAGGAGACTACTCTGGCTCCACAGCTTTGCACAGCATTCAAAACTACTTGTGCTTTTGTGTACAGAACACACCTATTGGTGTCTTGAGAATCCTGTTTGGGAAACACCCCTGTGTCTCGTCTCTGGCCTGCATGACCACCCAGGATAGTAGCCAAGAGGGACCCCTGCTGATGGGGCCCCTTTTGGGAGGGAGCAGATACCACCTACAGGGAGACAGATCCTACAGTCTGAACCAGCAGGTTGACCTGCTTGAGGATGTGTGATTGGGGCAGATGCAGTCTCACCTAGGATCTGAGGTCATTCTTTCTCTGAATCCATCTTTTTTTTTTTTTTCCCTCTCCCAATTTTTCTCTTTCTGGGCTTGTTCTCAGAAATGACTGTTCAGATCTCTTCCATTTATTAAGAGACAAGTTGAGTTCATTGCCCCACTTCCCTCCTTCCATTTCAGCCAAGCTTTTAAGAAATGCTTCGTCCTTATTGTTACAACGTCTTTACCTCCATTCATTCTTCTTCCACTACAGTTTGGCTCCTGGCCACACCACATCACTGAGATGTGTCTTGCCAGTGACCTAGTTGCTAAATTCAGTGGCTACTTTCCGTCTTCATCTTACTAAGATGCAGCATCTGATCCTGTTGCCTACTCAGTTTTGGTTGAAACCACCTTGTAGTCTGGCATGATGGTGCCCCCCTGTAATGCCAGCACTTGGGAGATTGAGGCAGGAGGATAGCAAGTTTGAGGCTACCTAGTGAGTGAACTCCAGGACAACCTGGGCTGTAGAGGAAGACTGTTTGAAGAGGAACTACTCTGTGGATTTCCTCTTGCAGTGCTGGAGACGGAACCCAGTGTCTGTGTGTGTTTCCTTCCCGAGTCCTTTGCCGTCTTTCTTACTTGTTGGCACACAGGTACCGTCTGAATCCTCACTGCAGGCTTTGCCATTTATACTCGTGGCTTTTACATCGTGCACACATGGATGGCTCTGGTTCTTTCTAGTTTATGAGGCTAATAACCGAACTTGCCATTGGTTCATGGTTACTGGCAGAAGACACAGATTTTGAGATTAGAGACCTAGGACCTTACATGTTTGCGTAAGTTCTTCTTGCCTCCAAGTCCTGCAGGGGCAGCGTGATGGGCCCAGATGGATGCTTCACATGCAGATGGTTTGTGTCATAGCTGAGAAACATGGAGCTTGGGAGGTGTGTGTGGGGGTCTACCGCTTATAAAGGAAGCAGTAAATAAGACTACTCTTCATCCTAGAGGGAATTAGTACGTCATCCTTCAAGGTTGCTTGTTGTAAGCACGACACTGAGAAGACGCTCAGGTACAAAGAGGCAGAGTCTTTCCATTCACAAGATGTGAGAGAGTGCCAGGCTCCTGGAGGACTGTCTTTCAACAGCAGACCCTTCACCCTCTTCCAACGAGTGTGCCCTCTCCTAGAACTGCTGCTCACATGGCGCCCTCCGGTTTCTGCTCGCTGTCCGGGACAGGCCAGAGATCCCGGAGTGAGTGTGCATTCGATCATCCCCTTCAGTGCCTGCACCTACCTAACCAGGTCTGCTCACGGCGACACCAAGGCCTGCGGCTCCCATCTGCTGCCGGTTTTTTGGGTTGTGACGTTTGCATATATTGTGGCGCTTCATCCTTTCAGCAGCTGTGAGGTTAGCTTTGTCCCAGGTGGAAAAATGGTTAAGTGATTGCCCAAGGTCATACACACAGAGAAGGGCAGAGCACGAGCGTCGAACTTCGGTCTGTCTGGAAGCCTGTGTTGTTAGTACTTCTCACCATTGGTCTTCCTTTTAGAGTACATCCCTGTCTGATAGACCGCTACGGCCTTGGTGGAGGATCTGCCCATTTGACCCTGTTCTCTTCTTTTTCTCCTCTGCGTTAGTCAGCTTTTCTTTACTATCGCAAGTATCTGAGAGAGCCAACCTATAAAGAGAAAAAAGGTTTATTTGGCTAATGACTTTGTTTATTTTTGTCTTATTAAAAAAGGTGTGTGTGTGTCTATGTATAGGTATGTGCACCCAAATGCACTTGCCCTTGGAGGCCAAAAGGGGGCATCAGGTTCCCTGTAGCTGGAGTTAAAGGTGGTTATGAGTCGTCAAGGTGGGCGCTGGGAACTCAACTTGTGTCCTTTGCAAAAGTGGTCTGCACTCAGCTGCTGAGCATCTCTCTAGCCCTCGTTTTTTATTTTAAAATGCATCTTTTCTTCCTTCCAGACAGTGTTTCACTACGTAGCTCAGCCTGGATTCGAACCTACAATCCTTCTGTTTTAGTCTCACAAATGCTGGGATTATAGGTGTGAGTCAACACATCCAACACATTCGTAATTTTAGAGGTTTTCAGTTCATGCTCAGGGAAACTCAGAGTTTTGTTTGTTTTTGTTTTTGTTTTTTGAGACAGGGTTTCTCTGTGTAGTTTTGGTGCCTGCCCTGGATCTCACTCTGTAGACCAGGCTGGCCTTGAACTCACAGAGATTCACCTGGCTCTGCTTCCTGAGTGCTGGGATTAAAGGTGTGTGCCACCACCGCCTGGCTCAGGTGTTCACCTTGAATATACTGAAGTCCCTCTGCCTGTACCAGATGCTGTAGTGATACAGCTGTCGTTAGTGGTGGCCATTGTCCACCAGTGCTTGCATAGTACTGGGCCGGAAACACCGGGAGAGCTCACTAAGTTGTTGAATGACACCCTGCTTCCTAGTCTGCCATGCTTCCAACAGCCGTGAGTTAGTTTCTTGTTGCTGTGATAGATTTCGTCGTGACAAAGGCAACTTCAGGGGAGAGGGTTTATTTCGAATCATTTGAGGCAGAGAAGCATGGTGATTGGAGTGTGAGGTGGCTGGTCACACTGTGTCAGCGTTCAGGAAGCAGAGAGAGACAGAAGAATAATGCTGATGCCCAGCCGACTTTATTTTGTTTCTTCCTTCTTATTCTGTGCAGGACTCTAGCCCATGGGATGGTGCTGCCCAGAGAGGTGTTTCCTAGGAGATTCTGAATCCAATCAAGTTGATAAGGAGGATTCGAGCTTCCTCCATGTGCTCTTGCTACTGTGGACTGACCTGCTCTGCCCCGCCTTCCCTCCCATGATGCACTCTGGAACTGTGAGTCCACACAGATCTTCCCCGCTTCGCTTAGGCTGCCGGTCAGCTCGGGTCTGGGACCACATGGGAACGGGAGAAGCCGGGATGTGGGAGAAAGCCAGTGTAAGCTTTTCTCTCCTCAGTCTCGAGGTCATTTTTGGACTGAGACGACTGTAGTACTGACCTTTAGTGGACATCAGTCCCTCCGCCCCCTGTACAACAAAGGGTTTCTTCTGTCTCTTGCTCGTCAACGTCCTTCTCCTTGGTCAAATTTTAGCCAATCTCTTTAGTTTGAACTCTCTCCTAGGCCCATCTGTGTATTTCCTGGTAAGATCCAGTTTTAGCAAAGAACTCCGCCAAGGTCGTTTGTCCAGAACCCTCTGTCTTCATTATCTGATTGCTCCCGGGATCAGGCTTTTTTTGATCTGCACCAAGCCCCAGGTGGTGCTTGTTCATGCTGGCTTGTCTTCAGTAAGAATCCTGTCAGGTCAGTTTAGCCAGACTCCCTGTTACTTTTCCTATTTCCTCTTGGTAATTTTCCACCCACTGACTCCTGCCCTCGCCTGTGGCTCTGAATTCCCCTGTCTGTGCTGTGCTGGGGTCGAGCTCCATCTCTCTCTGCACTGAAAGTCTGATGTCGTGGCTCCTGATTTGGGGACATGATCTTGAGTAAGGTTTTCTTGTGCCGCTGTTACAGGTATTGAACCTTTTTTTCTTTGACAGATTCATTGTCTCTTTAGAGGAAGACTTGTCTCTTTTCTAGTGTGTCCATGGTAATCCAGCTGTCGCCTCTCTAGGGTGTCTGTCTACAGTAGCCTCGTCATTTCTGTCATGTTTCTGGTACCCGGTGCAGACTGCTTTCGGGTCCCTTATTTGTGGTTTGTCTCCTGGCGGTGACACAGTCCCTGCCACGGGCAGTTTGATGGAGGAAGAGATCATTTGGGCTCACAGTCTGAGGGTGTAGTCTGTCATGGTGGCAAAGTCATAGCCGCATGAAGTCACTGGCATTTCACTTGATTTTTTTGTCCTTTTTTTTTTTTTCCCCTTAGATTTTTGCCTGGGTGTGACAGTACATCCCTTTAACCCCAGCACTCGGGAGGCAGAGGCAGGTGAATCTCTCCGAGTTCCAGGCCAGCCAGAGCTGCATAATAGAGAGACTGGGTTTCTCTGTGGAGCCCTGGCTGTCCTGGAACTTGCTCTGTAGACCAGGCTGGCCTTGAATTCAAGAGATCCACCTGCCTCTGCCTTCTGAATACTGGGATTAAAGATGTGCACCATCACTGCCCAGCAGATTTTCTTTTTATTCAGGCTAGGCCTTCGGCCCATAGAATGGTCCCACTCACATTTAGGATGGATCTTCCAACCTCTGCTAACCCAGTCTAGAAACTTTCTCAGAGACACGCCCAGAGCTTTGTCTCCTAGGTGAGTTTCGTTCCTGGCAAATTGACAGTCAATATTAACCACCACAGTCCCTAAACAAAGGCATATGCCAGGGACAGATGTAAACAAACCTCTGTTGGTTAGCTGAAGTTTGGGTCGTCCGAGCCAGCTACTTGTACAACATCCTAAGCATCCAGCACCTCTCTTTAATCAGGAATCTAGAAGCCTGAGAGTACCTTAGACTTGTGCTGGCCAGTATACAGTCAGCTGGTCAGAGATGCTGAGGGAAGAAACGGCTTTCCGGCGAGGGTGAGCCAGGGCAGGACAGGAGAGCTAGCAGCCACGTCTCCAGTCTGTGCTGTCTCTCCTGGCAGAGCCAGAGGCACACACCCTGGCATCTGCCCATCTAGAGCTGCCAGGAGCTGCGGACAGTGATGTCATGCTTCTCTGTCCGTTGTCCCACGCGTGGCCTGACTTCATCTAGTTATTTAGTTTGCTCTACAGTAGACGCTCATAGACTCACCCTCCAAAACAACACGGAGCCGCGGCAGGTCTGGGATGGTATCGTGTGGACCTGGAACGTCTGCTTGGTCCCAGGCTTTGCCTCTCTTAGGAGGGGGTGGACCCTGTGATCGGTGAGGTCATCGTGGGCGTGCCCTTGAAGGATTTTAACCCCCCCCCTTTTTTTTTTACTGCTTCCTTTCATTTCCCTGCTGCCACGAGCAGCTTCCTTGAGTCCTGCCATGAAGTGCTGTCTTGATGTAGACTCAAAAGCTATGGAGGGGCTGGAGCAATGGCTCAGTGGTTAAGAGGACTGGATGCTCTTATAGAGGACCCCAGTTCGATTTCCAGCATCCACGTGGCCGTTCACAACTCTTTATAACTCCAGTCCCAAGGGACCTGATACCCTGTCTTGGCTTCTCAGGGCACCAGACATGTAAGTGGTACACAGATATACGTGCAGGCAAAACGCCCACACACATAAAAAAACAAATTACCAAGCAGTGGAGCCGTGGACCATGGGCTGGAGTCTCAGCCTCCAAAAGTATGAGCCCTTCCCCCCAACATCTTTCATCTTTGTAGGTTGATTACCAAGGTATTTCATGACAGTAACAGAACGTTAACTAATGCTTGACAGGAACTGACATGGAATTGCAGGTTTCTCTTCCATCCTAAGCTTCTGCCTCCCACTGCTTAAGTAACCCACCGTGGTGATATTTTGTTTGTGCTCGTAACAAATAAAGCTTGCCTGGAGATCAGAGTGCGGAGCTAGGCACTAGTTAACCATAGGCCAGGCAGTGGTGGTGCACACCTTTGATCCCAGCATTTGGGATCTCACGCCTTGGATCCCAGCTCTAGGGAGCTGGAGACAGGATCTCGGCCCTTTAGGTTTGAGGATCCGACAGAGGCAAGAAGTCTCTCTAGTACCTGCTCCTTTACTTCTCTGATCTTTTAGCGTTTACCCCATATCTGACTTCGAGTTTTTATTATTAAGACCAAGTAGAATTCGCACTACAAGCCACACCCTGAATCTGGTGTTGATTAATCTTTGTTTTCCCTTTTATATTATTTTAAATCTACTCAAGTGGAAAATTTCAAACATTCACAGCTCAAGAGCCTAGTCTGACCTTGCTTTATCCTACCTCCGTCCCTTTCCAACATTTCTATTTTGGTTGGTTGTTTATGGTGCTGGGTTGAACCTAGGGCCCACTGCTTTCTGGGTAGGCGCTCTGTCCCTGAGTTATAAGCCCAGGCTCCTATTTACACTTTTATTTTGAAGTAGTGTTTTGCCAAATTGCTGAGACTGGCCTTGACTTCCTCTGTGGCTTAGGCAGGCCTTGAACCTCTGGGATTGGGGGCCTGTGCCCCCGGCATAGTGGCTTCCACATCCTTTAGGCCGTGGTATTCTGTGTATGTTTCTAAAGGGTGTCTATTCTTGCTTTGGGCTATTTTTAACTTTATAAAAATTCATCTTGCTGTATGAATTTTTTGTGGAGCAATTTTTCACGTACTAATGTATCAGTAGAACTGTGTGTTGCGGTGTGTCACTGTGGATCATTCACTTTGTGTAATGGCCCATTGCATGCCTATCCCTTGGCTTATTTTTCCGCTCTCTTGCCGATGCTGCTCAATTTGTTTGTGGGTTTTTGCTGTTGTGAAGAGTACTGCTCTGACTATTCCTTTTTTTTTTTAAAGAAAAGATTTATTTTTTAATTTAAATTATATGTAGGTGTGTGTGTCTGTAAGTAGGTATGTGCACATGAGGGCATGCCTTGCAGGCCAGCGGCATAGGATCCCCAGAACTGGAGTTACAGACTGTTTTGAGCCGCCATGTGGGTGCTGGGGATCAAACCTGGGTCCTCTGGAAGAGCAGCCAGTGCCCTTACCTGCTGAGCCATCTCTCCAGCCCCTGTGTGCTCATTTTAAAAAAGGGAAGAAAGAAGGGAAGTAAGCTGTGGTCCTGGAGTGGAAGGCTGTGGACTGGACGGCCTCCTCCCAGCCGTCACATGCTGAAGCTCTAGCCGCCAGTGGGATGCTATTTCGGGACTGGCTTTTGGAAAGTAATTAGCTTTAGATGAGGTCTAGAGGTTTGAACTCTTGAGAACATAGAGCTTGCTGTGTCCCCTCACGTCTCCAAGGAAAGGCCATTGCGAACACAGCGAGGAGGAAGCTGCTGGAAGCTGGGAAGAGTCCTCCCTAGAACGCCACCTGGTAGCCTTTAGCTTTTTTTTTTAATTTTTTTATTTTTATTTTTTTTTTGGGGTTTTTTTTTTTTTTTTTTTTTTTGCCTTTAGCTTTTTATCCTTCAGAACTGAGGGGATAAATTCCTGTTCTGCCACCCACCCTGTGGGCTTGTTACCGTGGCAGAGCCGACTCGGTCAGCCTGAGATGCTGACTACCCGCCTGTTTCCTCTTCTCTTGAATATCTGCAACTCTGGCCTGGGTCTCCATTGGTTTGTTGTGTTAGTTTGGGGTCACAGCTGTAACAAAGTACCACAGTTTCGGTAGATTAAAACAACAGAACTTGCCAGGCATAGTGGCATACACCTTCCATCCCAGCACTTGGGAGGCAGAGACAGGTGGGTGCGTTTGAGGCCAGCCTGGTCTACAGAGCGAGTTCCAGGACAGCCAGGGCTACAAAGTGAGACCCTGTCTCTAAGCAACAAGAATAACAACCACCAAACCAAACCAACCAAACTAAAAACCTTACAACTAATTCTCAACAGCCATAAGGTATAACTAACCTAAGTTAACTGACAAACGGCCACATAAAAATATCATCTCGTCAGGCAAGGCAAGGCAAAGAAAAATGTAATTGTGAAAAATATGGCATGACACACAGCAAAAGGCCAGTCAAATTAATTAGTAAGCAGGACCAGACTTTGTAATATAAATGACTTCCCTTTTTGTATTGTTTCAGTCTCATAAAAAGGTACAGAGAGGCCAGGCGGTGGTTGCACATGCCTTTAATCCCAGAGCTCAAGAGGCAGAGGCAGGCAGATCTCTGTGAGTTCAAGGCCAGCCTGGTCTACAGAGTCAGTTCCAGGACAGCCAGGGCTACACAGAGAAACCCTGTCTTGAGAAACCAAAAAAAACAAAGTCATAAGGGCAGGTATTTTCAGGCCTGTTTGTAGAGATTTGTACACGTGGTGCTGTAAAACATCAATTGTGGGGCTGGAGCGAAGGCTCAGCAGCTAGCATTTGTTGCTCTTGCCAAGCTCACCCCCACCCCCCATTTGGTTTCCAGCACCCACATGGTGGCTTACAGACTCCTGCAACTCCAGTTCCCAGCGATTGGATGCCCTCTTCTGGCCTCAGCAGGCATTGCACTCACATACACAAACCTGTACACAGACCCATCTATACACATTAAAAACAAAAATCTTTTAAAAATTCACTTATTCGGATCCAAATTGCTCCACTCAACAGGGACACTCCAGGATCGACATGTGAATCCTGATCTCACAGAAACTCCAGCAGTTAGATTATTTTTTTTTCAATTGTGTTTCAAATGAATCTTTGTCGATAACACATAACACCTTGCATTTCACGCAACCGAGTTGTTTTCCAATAACCACCTTTACTTAGTTTCTAGAGCTCGTGTATTTTTCTGAGCACAGAGACTAAAACTTCATATTGGTAGCCGTCGGCAAATCTGGGGTTCACTGGGACTACAAGCCAAACCCAGACACTTGTCTCGAAGCTTCCCACGGAGTGTGAGAGAATCCCCTATCAGCTATAGCCAGAAAAGCTGTTCAAGAGAGCAACACCCTGCTGCTAGGTGTCCAGGAGAGAGAGCAAACTATTGGCACCCCAGGGCTTGGCTGGATGTTCCTACGTCCTGTTTTCATCAGGCTCAAAGGAATCCTCACCAGTTAGTCCATTTCCTGGAAATAATATCCTCCTGAGAATCTATTTCATCACCCTCGAAAAGAACAAGAATTGCCCAGGTGCTGACAAATATTGTCTTGCATTAGGCAAATAATAATAAAAAAAATCTAGTTTCTATGCAGAAATTTTAGGGAATCTGTAACAATTAGCTCAGAAAGTTTGTTCTTTACAGCATGGTAAAACAAAATAAGCAAACAAAAAAGGACTTAGTTCCAGTCCCGGGGAAGGGAAATCTTAGGAACCTTAGGGAGGAGTGGCACACAGCGCTGCAGGTCACTTCCCTGGTTGTCACATGGTCGTACTACCTTGCAAGGGAGGTGGTGTTTCTTTGGGAGTTGCCCTGGCTTTGCCAGGCAGTGCGGTATCTCCGGAGATCATCCTCCTATTCTGGGAATAGCTCAGCCCAGAGCTCGAGGACACATCACGCCCTTCTCTCTAGCACCTCCGCCATTCTGTCAGGAATTTTGTGATCCCAAACTACCGGCAATCCCCCGAGCTTTGTAAGTGATAAAGAAACTGAACACGCTCCTTCGGTACATTTGATATCTAGCTGGCAGATAACCTGACTGTTTCTCTCTTATCCAGAACAATTGTTCTTAGTGGGGAGGAGGGTGAGTTCGTGCCCAAGGTTTCCAAACTTTTTTCCAAATTATATAGCAAGTGAGAAAGTCATAAAGCTGGAGGTTTTGCCCTGTTTTTGGAGAACAGTGAACATGGGTTGTAAGCATCAGTTGGTGCTCCTGCAGAGATCTCAGTTCTATTCCCAGAACCCACACGTGGCTCACAGCCGTCTGTAACTCCAGTTACGGTTTCTAATGCTTAGAGACATTAAAACATTCTTGTTACATTTATTTATTTATGTATGTATGTTGCCATGATAACTGTGTGGAGAGACTTCTTTTTTTTTTTTTTTGAAATAGAGTCTCTCTATGTAGCCCTGGCTGTCCTGGAACTCACTCTGCAGACCAGGCTGGCCATGAACTCACAGAGATTCACCTGCTTCTGTCTCCCAAGTGCTGGGATGGAAGGTGTGTGCCACCACTGCCCGGCTGACAAGACATTTTTTATTGTTATGACTGGGGCTGGAGTGCTACCGGGTATCAGATGTGTAGAAGCCAGAGGTGTTTGTTACTAAACATCCTCCTGTGCACTGTACACCCTCCTGTCTGTAAAATAAAGTAAAAAACAAGAAGTAACTATGCAGTCTAACATGTCCATGGCGTCAAAATGCAAAAGCCTTGATATGGGACCTGCAGAGTTGGCTGTGCAGTTAAGAGCACTCGTTGTTCTTTCAAAGGACCCAGGTTCAATTTCCAGCACCCACATGGTAGCTCAAGGCCATCTGTCGCTCCAGCTCCAGGGTATCTGACACCATCTTCTGCTTTCCATGGCCACCAGGCATGTACAGAGTTCAGGTACATATATATGGGCAAAATAAAGAAATCTAAGGGAAAAAAAAAAAAAAAAAGCTTGACACAGAATTGAGAGTTAGTGTAGTGCGAGACCAGTGTGGACCCCAGCCTCACGTGGGACTGGTTCTCATCAATGGTGTGTAACCTAAAATGAAATGTGCCACTCTCCTCTAGGGATTCTCTTTCCCTTTCTTCTGGCAAGATGGAGGTGATAACTAGGGTCTGTGGGAGAGCCGCAGTTGGAGCCTGGACCCTTGAGTCACCGTCTGGGACAGCTACCATCCACTAGAAATAGAGGTGGCATTTTTAAAAAATTGTTTTTTGGTATTACTGTGTGCATGTGATGTGTATGTGTGTGCTGTTTACATGTGTTACAGCACACATATGGAGGAGTTGATTCTCCTTCCTCTTTGTTGAGGTGGGCAGGTGGGGGGGTCTCACGTCTTTCATCCTGTGTATTCTAGGCTAGCTGGCCCTCAAGCTTACAGGCTTCCATCGTGCCATAGAGTGCTGAGACTGCAATCTGTGCTACTGAATCTGGCTTAAGAGCAAGTCTGGTGGAGAGGGTGCACACCTTTGATCCCAGCCCTCAGGAGGCAGGCGGATCTCTGAGTTCAAGGCCAGCCTGTCTGGTCTATAGAGCGAGTTCCAGGACAGCCGGGGCTACACAGAGAAACCCTGTCTCCAGCAACCAAAGGGGGGAAAAAAGCATGCATGTTACCTTTGTCCCCGAAGTTAGCCCAGGGTCGTTTCCAAGCTTGTCCCTAAGGGGCCATCCCCGTTCTTTGTGATCAGGTTACACCATCAAGTTGGCCAACTTGATTGAGCCACAGGAGATCCCGATATCGGTTCTGGCTCTTCCTGTGCTACAGTTGGGTGTGCAGTGTTTCCTGCCAGACTCACGTGCTCAAGGCTTGGTTGCAGCCTGTGGCGCCATTGAGAAGTGGAAGAACCCTTCAGAGGTAGGACCAGCCCGATGTGGTGGTGCAGCATTTGTAATCTCAATACCCAGGAAGCCGAGACAGGAGGGTTGCCACAAGTGTGAGGTCAGCCTGGGCTATACAGTGAGACTCTGTCTGCAGTAACCGGAAAGAGAAAAGAGGTGGGCCTCGTGGGGACGGTAAGTCACCGGGGGTGTGTCCTTGATCCTCTCTCTCTCTCTTTGCTCCCCAGTGGCCGTGAGCTGAACACACTCCTAGTCTGCTAAGGGCTCACCTCATGATGCTGCTCCAGGCTTGACGCAACAAGACCAAATGAGCGTGGACACTTTGAAACTGTGCACGGGGACGGATCGTTCCTGCTTGTAAGATATTTATTCCCGCGTGGAAGGGTAGCGCTGGGGCTACCACTCCTTCTGAACCATGGTGCCGTGGCTGTGGAAGGGGCTGGTAGGCATTGGCCTCTTGGCTCTCGCCCACGCTGCCTTTTCGGCTGCACAGCATCATTCTCATATGCGACTAACGGAAAAGGAATACGACTCGCTGCCTGCAGATATAGTTCTCCAGACACTTCTGGCCTTTGCGGTTACCTGTTACGGCGTAGTTCATACGGCAGGGGAGTTTAAAGACAGGGATGCCACTTCAGAACTAAAGAATAAGACGCTGGACGCCTTCAGGAATCGCCCGTCCTTTTATGTGTTTCATTATTCCGGTCGTGGACTGTTCCGGCCTTCAGATACATGTTCTTCGAACGTCAGCGCATTGTCTTCTGACAATCGTTTGAAGTTTTGAAAGTTCAAATCACTGCGCTGCTTAGCCTTTTACCATTTAAGTAATAGGACAGGAGCAGAATTAAGTGCTGGGATTTGGAATGTAAAACCACCTCCTACACGTCAGTATTTTTATTGATATTTTTCAAACTTAATTTAAAAAAAAAAAAAAACTATAACCAAAGAACAAACAAACAAAAAAAAGCAAAAGGTATTTATCTCGGGTATCCCGTCACGGCTGTAGGAAGCTGACTAACTGGGGAGGTATTTTCGGATGAGGTAAACATTTGAATCTCGGCCCAAAGAAAGCAGAGTGCCCTCGATAAGGCAAGTGGACCTAACTCAGTCAAGGGGCTGAGTGGAACAGAGGCTTAGTAAGGAAGACACACTCCTGCATGCTTGAGCTGGGACAGCAACCTATCTCTGGCTCTGTCCCCTAAACCAAACATCAGCCCTTCTTGCGTGTTGAGCCTGCTGGCTCTCAGACTTGTGTGTAGGCTCCCCTGGGCTCTGCCTGCGGACCACAGTTTTGAGGGACTTGCAGGTTTTCCCAGTGCACAGTCCAGTTCTTCATTGCAACTCTCACCACGGGCTCCTCCAGGCTCTCTGACTGGGAGCTCAAAGATGGCGATGATTTTCCACGCCGTGTCAGAGAAAGAGGCCAGTGTTCCCAGAATGATGGAGATAAGTGGTGGAGAGAGCCTCACCCCTGCCAGTCCGGCTGAAGAGGTGGAGAGAGCCTCACCCCTGCCAGTCCGGCTGAAGTGGTGGAGAGAGCCTCACCCCTGCCAGTCCAGCTGAAGAGGTGGAGAGAGCCTCACCCCTGCCAGTCCGGCTGAAGAGGTGGAGAGAGCCTCACCCCTGCCAGTCCAGCTGAAGAGGTGGAGAGAGCCTCACCCCTGCGGCCAGTTCCATGTGCCACTTGCTATGGTCTGGTTATCCACCCACTTCTCTTTTGTGCTTGTGGTTCCTTCAGTATGAGATTCTGCCGTTTGCAAGTATGTTAGTGTTTGTCAGAGGACAAGAATCAACAAGGGGCGTGTGTGTATAAAACTGTCCCTTGGTGTCTACAGAGGACTGATTCTACAGCTGTCTACAGGAACCCAAATCCTCCGATGCTCCAGTAGTTTTTAGAAAATGACGTAGTGTTTGCATCTAACCTATGCCTACCCTCTCATCTACTTTTAGTCGTCTCTAGATTACACATAATACCTAATACCATGTAAATGCTGTAAAGAGTTGTCACACTGGACTGTTTAGGGAACAATGATAAGAAAATGTCTGCATATGTTCAGTGCAGATGGAATTCTCCACCCTCTCCCACAACCCCGCTAAAAAAATTTTTTTTTTTGGTTAGTAGTTGGTTGTGTCTGTGTTTGGTTTATTTACTTGTCCTTATGGTCTACTTTACAAGAATGTCACCTCCCTGAGGGCGGATCTTGTTTGTCTTGGTTCCTTGTGGTGTCCCTCCTGCCCGTCAGAGTGCCTCATGTGCCTTTGCTTGTGGTATGCTGGAGGGGGAAGGGGTGTGTGTGTGTGTGTGTGTGTGTGTGTGTGTGTGTGTGTGTGTGTGAGAGAGAGGGGGGGGGGGAGAGGGAGGGAGGGAGGGAGGGAGGGAGAAATTGACCTGGAACTCAATATATATAGTAGGCTGATCTTGAACTCACATGGATCCATCTGCCTCTGCCTCAAGTACTGGGATCAAAGGTGTGCACCACCATACTTAGCTTTTTTAAAAAATACGTATTTATCAAGGAAAGCTCAATTTACTCTCTGGATCCCAATTTCAAGACTCCATCTTCCCATTCTAGGACACCTGTCTTGGTTACTTTTCTGTTGTTCACCAGGGCCAAGGCAGCTTATCAGAGGGTTCGAGTTCACGATGGCAGAGCAAAGGCATGGTGGCGTGGACGGCTGAATGTTAACATCATGACTCACAAGTAGAAGGCAGAGAGAGAGAGAGAGAGACTGGGAATGGTGCAAATATTTCAAAACTCAAAGCCACTGCTAGTGACACACCTCCTCCAAGGCCACACCTCCTAATCCTTCCCACGTGGTTTTACTGGGGATCAAGTAGTCACACTTAGAAGCCTAAGGAGGCCATTCTTATTCAAACCACCACAGGATCTGACACCGGTTGGGCTCAGTGGCCTCTTGTGGGCTTGACTGCCTGTTTGTAGTTGGTGCTCACTCCTGTCCTTTGGCAGGAGGGCGTCTCTGACTCCATTAGTGCAGAACGGAAGCTGTGTTGTTTCTGCCCACTTGTGTCTTGTTTCCCCTCCCCCAGGCTTTTCCTGGTCTCCCCTCGAAGGGCAGCCAAGGCCTGTCAGTTCTACATTCGCTGCATCTCTGTGGGACTCTGCGCCTCCATCCAGGCAACCCTTGCTTTAGTAGAAGGTTGTATCATCTAACATCTCACAGACATAACCTGTGTTAGGAGTACAGTCCTCCTCTCCTTCCTTAGCCGTACAGTCCTTTTAATTACTAACGTGCCTGCTCTAGAATGGTCTTCCTGTTGCACAGCACTGCTGAATAGCTCTTGACGTCAGCCTTTCAGCACCTGGATACCGTGAATACAAAATTAAGCCCAAATGCTCTTCATTCGAGGGCCTCCACCGCCGAGGGCCTCCCCACTTCCCCAGCTTCCTCTCCATCCCTTGCTCGGTGAACTCCACGTCTTCAGAACACTTGCCGGTGCTCAGTGCGCCCAGCCGTGTCCGCCGCTTCCATTTCACAGAGTGCCTCTGTGGTGATTAGTTTTAAAAGCTAACTTGCCACGAATTAGAATCACCTGGGGAGAGAGTCTCAATGGGATAATTGCCTTTATCAGATCAGACCATCGGTGGGGGATTGTCTCGATTGTTAACTGAGGTAGGAAGATACTCCACTATTGGTGGTACCATTTCAGGGGTGCCTGGATGACACAGGACAGGAGGAGGGCAGAGAGGGAAAGCAGGCAACATGGGTATATTTATTTCTCCCTGTCTCTGGCTGTGGGTGTGATAGGATGGTACTTAACTTCTACTCAGTTGCAATGGGCTGTGACTGAAATTGTGAGCCAAATAAGCCCTTTCTCTCCTCAGTTGCTTTGTGTCAGGACGTTTTCTCATAGCAACGTAAAGGAGACTAGAGCACTCTGTTGGCCCATTAGGGTTATAATAAAGTGCCACAGACTGGGTGACAAGAAACAGGAATTAGTTTTCTATAATTCTGGAGGCTAGGAATCAAGATCAAGGAGCTGGCTTGGGTGCCTTCCTCCAAGGACTCTCTCTTTGGCTTGTAGGCGGATGTCTCTTCCTTGTGTCTTCACGTAGACCTCCCTTTGTGTATTAGTGTCCTGTTGTCCTCTTCATAAGGATCCTGCCCTTACCAAGGACCTCATTTCAGCATAATTACGTCTTTAAAGACACTCATAATCTTAGGTAGGTTCTAGGGATTGGACTGCAACACGTGATTGTGGGGAACCTCTATTCAGCCTGTAAAAAAAAAAAAAAGCAGTTCTCCTAGGCAGATACATTCAGCCCATCCTCACAGCGACAGATGTCCTAACTCTTGCCCACATCAACTGTAAGTCTAAATCATCTAAACCATGTGTTGGGTAAACTCCAAGTATGAATCTTCCTGACTGAAAGTTTCCCTCCAGCTGTGTACCTGTGGAACTAAACCACACATTACAAGCTTCCAAAATAAACTAGTGGGGCAAACATGGCCTGGATATCCTCAGTCCAAAGAGAAGGATAATGGAGAAAAATCACGTTAGGATCCCTAAATGTATGGATTTTGTGGAGTTCAGATTCAGTCTACAACAACTTCCCCTTCGTGAACCTGGAAAGTGACACCCACAACTGAATACCTGATTGGCTTGCCTCAGCACTCCTTCATGCTTTATTGTACCCCAACCCATATTCATCTCCACCAAATCCCTGTTATACTTGAGTGCGTGGCTGTCTCCTCTGCCAACACCTGACACACAAGTACACTTTCAGAATACACTGGTCCTCCTTATCCACTGGGAACACATCCAAGGCCTAGAGCAGATGTCTGCAAAATACTGAATCCATTAAATAATGTTTTTTCCAGTCTGATAACCCAGACAGCCATTAAGAGATTAACAGGTAGAAAGCATATACTGCTTGGATACTCACGATAAAAAGATAATTCACGGGATGCCAGCACTAGATTTCATGATGTTCTGAATGGCATGTAGTTTAAAACTTAGCCACTGTTTGCTTCTAGAATCTTCCCTGTAACTTTTTTTTTTCAACTGTAATTAACACTAGATAGTTGAGACTATGGAGAGAAAAATCTTAATGAGGGGATACTGCTGTGTGTTCCAAGAGTGGAACACAAATAAACCCCATGGAAGGGGGGCTCTGTTGTTTTGTGCACTGCTGTGTCTTTAGAACCTAAAACAGTGCCTGGTACATAGCAGATAGTCCCCAAATATTTACTGAATTTGTAAGTGAATATAATAAATAGACACACACATACTAAATGTATAGTCTAGATTCTTGAGTGTCAAGCAGCCTATGAATCTGTGTTGTTGTTTATCCAGCTGAGTGCAAGAGAAGATTAATCCTCTCCTCCTGAATGGCCAGAGACTGGCTGAGCAACCGTCACATGCCTCTGGATTCCCCAGATGACTCACAGGAGAGCTTTGTTTGAGAGGAGTGGGACGAAATGATGGTTGACAAAAATAACCGTGGGTCCTGGAAGGCGGCATCGAGCTCTACCAGGGATGAGAACAATAGAGGTGGATGTAAAGGTTTCTCCAAGGCGGGGCCAGATAGCTATCTTCCTAGCGTGGTGGGCTACAGCTGCTCACATGTTCAAAGGATTAGACAGAATAAGTGACATAAGATCGCCATTGTTCCTAAGCAGGCAGCTGCTCTTAGATGCTCTTATATTTCTTATAAGCCGTGAAGGAAGCAGCTGGGAGGGGTGCGTCGTGAAGGTGGTAATTCCGTGTGTTTGTCTTTTTCCTTGTATAAAAGGCTTTCCCAGCAAGCGTAGTGCACACGCCTGGGATCCAGCACTCAGGAAACAAAAGCTGGAGGCCCGCTATAGGCTGTGAGGCCAGCCTGGTCTACATAGTGAGTTCAAGGCCAGCCAGAACGACACAGGAAAATAATGCTCCTGCCCCCCACCCAGACGCAGCTGTCCCAGACATACTTTCTCTCATTTGATAGCCACGCCCACCAGGACAGAAGGGCACCTTTACAGAAGAGACATTCTGAAAGAATCTCAGACTTGCTTCCTGCATCATTTCCTGTGTGGCGGAGCGCAGCTGGGATCAGCAGTGTACTGGCGTGAGTGTGATGTGCAAATTCTGGGCCCTGCCCAGATCTACCTGATCAAACCGGGGTAGCCCAGGAGTCTGTTGTAGAAGACTAGGTGGTTCAAATGCATGCCCAACTTTGAGAACCCTTGGGTTCACAGGAGGCAAATACAAGCCTTGAGCGAGAACCTGGGCATGTCCAATCCTATTCTTCACTGGCGCCCAGGTGTTCAGGGCTGACATTTTCTCACAGGACCATCCATTAAGTTATCTACATTTCCCTTCACACCTACAAAGCCCAGGGAGCTCTGTTATAGCCACATCTCTCAAAGACAGCTGCTCTCATGCCTCTCCTCAAGCCATGTTGGCCTTTGGTTCCTTAGGCACATCGAGCTGTCTGCTGTGTCTGGGCTTTTGCATGAGTTTCCTCTATCAGAAGTTACCATTGCTCCTGGCTTGGTATTTCTCCCTGTGAGTCTTCCTTGGTTCTGGCAGGTCTGTGTATCCTCAGCATGACATCGACGCTTTCTGAGGTCACTTTGTTGACTAGGAAGTAGATGGCTGGTGAGCAACCAGCTGCCTTTCTTACCACTGTTGTCCCCAGAGCCAACCCTGGGGCTTAGCACACAACAGATCCTCGACAAACATTTATTCAATCAATAAACCGTGAACAAGAGGAAGCTCGGGAGAGGGAAGGGATGATTTCCTCTATTCCTGTGCAGTCAAGGCTTGCAGGAGGGAAGCAGGGGGGAGGGGGGGCTGGTTTTGCCTCCTTGGGGTCAGTGCAATCCTGTCCCATAACTGGCTGATTTTTCTTAGCACCATGTCCTCAAACTCCATCCACGTAGAGTATGACAGGATTTCCTTAGTTTCAAAACCTGCGGGCTCTTACGTTGTGTCTGCACACCACACTGTCTCTACGCACTCATTTGCCAGTGGATGCCTGAGGTGTCCCTTTCTTTTGGCTGGTGTGAATAAACATGGGCTTGCAAATGTCTCGAGTAACTAGGAGTACAGAATGAGAAGCCCAGTAAGGGTACGACTGTAAGTCCCCAAGAGTGGTGTGGGTACCGTGTTTTCAATCCTTTTGATAAATATCCAGAGCTGGGATTACCATGTCATATCTCTTCCTCCTCCTCCTCCTCCTCCTCCTCCTCCTCCTCCTCCTCCTCCTCCCCCTCCTCCTCCTCCTCCTCCTCCCCCTCCTCCTCCTCCTCCTCCTCCTCCTCCTCCTCCTCCTCCTCCTTCTCCTCCTCCTCCTTTTTTTTTTTTTTTTAATTTTTAAAACAGGGTTTCTCTGAATAGCTCTGGCTCTCCTGGAACTCACTTTGTAGACCAGGCTGGCCTCAAACTCGGAGATCCCCCTGCCTCTGCCTCCCAAGTGCTGCGATTAAAGGTGTGCTCCACCACCTCCCTGCTGTCATATCTATTCTTAATTCCAGAAACTCCATAGTGTTCTCTCTAGTGGCTGCACCCCTTCCCAAACCTGCCAATGCAGTTCAAAGGTCCCACATCCTTGCTCTCCCCTCCTCTCTTTCCTCTCAGCTTCCCTTTCTTTTTCTGTATTTTTTCATGTTTATATGTGTGTGGTGTGGCCAAGGATGTGTGTGCATGTAGGTCAGAGGTTGGCGCCGAGTATATTCCTTGATTGCTTTATTTACTCAGGCAGGGATTCTCACCGAACCTGAAACTTGTTTGGGGATCCCCTGTCTCTGCCTCCAAGGGCTGTGATTACAGTGGCCACCATCCCTGCTGGCCTTTATGTGGGTTCTGGAAATCCAAACTCTGGTCCTCACACTTGCATAGCAAGTCCTTTATGGGCTGACGGCTCCGAGTCCTCTGCATTTTTAATGGTAGCGGTGCCAGTAAGTATGAAGCAGCATTTCATTGTGGTTTTGACTTGAATTGCCCTAATGAGAAGTGATGTTGAACCACGAGGAGAGGAGAGCCTCTGTCTGTCTCTGTTCCTCTCTCTCCCCCCCTCTCCCTCCCTCTCTTTCTCTCTGTTTTTCTTGTGTGTGCACATGTGTGTGCATGCATGTGGAAACCAGAGGTACGGACTGAGCGTTGTCCTCCATCACTCTACACCTTTTTTCTCTGAGACAGCGTCTCTCACTGAACCTCAAGCTTGCTGATTTGTCTTGACTGATGGGCTAGAGAGCCCAGGGGAATCGATCCTCCTGTCTCGCCTCCTGGTTCCGGGATTACAGATGCACACTGCCATGCCACCACAACCCTGCACCCACTTAAAAACAAACCGGTGAGTGCTGGAGGTGGAACTCAGACCCTTGTGCTTGTACAGTAAGCATGTCACCAATGTTGCCACCCCCCAGCCATGCTCATCCGCTCGTATTTCTTCTTTGGAAAAATGTTTACTCAAGCCCTTTGGTCACTTCAATTTTCTTTACTTTTTTTTTCAGACAGGGTTTCATGATGTTGCTGCCACTGGCCTGAAATTCATTTGGTGTATCAGGTTTGCCTCTGCCTCTCAAGAGACCCAGCTGCCTCCTGAGTGCTCAGACTAAGGTGCACATCATTCCACCTAGCCTCTTACTATTATTGTTTTAACTTTATTTTCATGTGATTTACTTTACTTTATGTTTAGTGGTGTTTTTCCTGTATGTGTGTACATCTCTGATGGCTGTGGACATCTGAAGAGGGTGTCTGATTCCTCGGAACTGTGAACTGCCAACTGCCCTGTGGGGACTGGGAATCGAACCCAGGTCCTCTGGAAGAGCAGTGCTCTTAACTGCTTGAGCCGTCTCTCCAACCCTAGCTTTGTCCATTTAAAAATGAATTGTTTTTCTGACCATTACATATTCTGTGTGGCATTAAATTCTGTCATTTATAAAATATTGTATTTGGGGGAAGCCCTGGGAATACACAATCTCATTCTGTTCATTGTTGTTTTTTTTTTTTAAAGAAAGTAATTTTTAACCAAAAAAAAAAAAAAGCCGGGCGGTGGTGGCGCACGCCTTTAATCCCAGCACTCGGGAGGCAGAGCCAGGCGGATCTCTGTGAGTTCGAGGCCAGCCTGGTCTCCAAAGCGAGTTCCAGGAAAGGCGCAAAGCTACACAGAGAAACCCTGTCTCGAAAAACCCCCCCAAAAAAAAAAAAAAAAAAAAAAAGAAAGTAATTTTTTTAAAGGTTTATTTATTTATTATGTATACAGTGTCCTGCCTGCATGTATGCCTGCAGGCCAAAAGAGGACACTAGATCTCATTGTGGTTGCTGGGAATCGAACTTAGGACCTCTGGAAGGGCAGCCAGTGCTCTTCACCTCTGAGCCATCTCTCCAGCTCCCCTCATTCTGTTCTTAATGTAGCCTTGAGATATAGGTACAACCCAAATCCACATTACAGAAGAAATACCAAGGCCTGGACAGGTCAAATCACATCCCTATGGTCACCCTGCTGGTAAATGATGGAGCTGGAGTTAGACAAGGGACCTGGGGAGGCTGGAGAACATCCTCTCAGCATCTCTTCCATAGCTCTCTATGGTAGGAAGAGAACAGCTGAGAGGCAGAGGCCAACATCTGCTAGTTTCATCCCTGCTTCAGCCAGCTAGGGAGCTGTGCCCCAACTCCATCCCTCTCTCTTTCTCTCTCAAAACTGAACCTTTACTATAAGGAATTGTTTGTGCAGGTGTGGGAAGACCCAGAGGCAAACCTGCCATGCCGAGTAACCAGTCGGAGAACAGTGAGGAGCTGTGAGGATGGCCGGAAGGAGTCGAGTGGCCAGAACTCAGAGGGGTCCTACAGAGCGAAGGTCGTCTGGTGATTCAGAGGAGCAGAGGGTCCTCGATGTCACCTGTGCTGCAGAGTCCCCTGAGAAGGTGGAGTCTGGAAACTTCGGCCCCATCCACTCACTCAGTGTACCTGGCCTCGGTGACACTGTTGACAGTCAGAGTAGTATACACGTGGAAAATGCTCTGAAACTGGGCATGGTGGGGCACATGCCTTTAATCCCAGCACTCCAGAGGCAGAGGCAGGTGGATCTGTGAGTTCAAGGTTAGCCTGGTCTACAGAGTTGAGATCCAGGACAGCCAGGGCTACACAGAGAAACCCTGTCTCGAAAAAACAAAAAACAACAACAACAAAAAAGATGTGTGCCGCCACACCTAGATGTGCCCAGCAGTCTTGAGGAGATAGATGAACGAGGTGGGGTCGTGGAGCATGTAAAGGGGGATCGTCACCTCTGCCACAGTGGCCAGCAAAGCTGCAGGCAAGTTCAGTCCAGAACGTCTGCTCAGCGCCACGTCATTCCCTACCCGAGAGCCTTCTTTGCTGTGTCTTTCACACGGGTGTTGTCCTAACTGTACCTCAGGGAACAGCCCTTCGGCATCGTAGAGGAGCCTCCATCGGTAGGAGCTGCTCTCCCAAGAGTCCAGCAGCGTGGTGAAAGAGGAAGTCGGGACATTTTTGTTGAGACTGCCGGTGGACAGTGCCGTGCAGGGAGAGCGGAGGATTTGCTAGGCATCCCTCTCCTGCCATCTGCTGGATGGATAAGAGGATTATGAACAGATCCAGCGGGCCGGATGCCCAGGAGAAAGGAGTGTTTTCAGGGGAGGAAAGAGGAAGGCAGTAAATGCAGCACCACTCTGTGCTGAGGCCTAATCCTGGGCCACGTGCTCCTGGTCGCTTCAGCTACCTCATCAGCATTACCCAGGAATCTGTGAGTTTGGGCATCTGCAAGAACTACGTCACCACTCTCCACTCTGTTACCAGCTGCAAATGCCATCAGAGGCTGGCCTTCGGAAATGTGAAAGTCCAGAATTCACAGGCATTCACTGGACGCACCGGGGCAAAGCATTTAAATGGAAAATTCTAGAAGTAAGCAGTGTTTAGTTATGCCTCATCCTGGATATTATGATGAATTTGAATTTGGCTCTGTCCTGCTCTCTCCCACCCAGGACACGAACTATCCTTTGTCCAGTGTATCTGTGTGAGCATGTGCTAATAGCCATCCCCATGGTCAGAGTGACTGCCGTGGTCCCACATGCTTGTGTTCCAGCTGCCTGTATTTCCCTCAACAGTGTTCCCTCAACACTAGGGATGCTGGCTATGTTGTTATAGTCCATCTGTCTCATTGTTGGTAGTCTCTTTCTGGGTCTTAATTTGTAAACTAAACCGTGTGCTAAGTGCGTGTAGAAAAAAGCACAGTGTAGCCAGGGTTTGCTGTTATCGTCTGTTTTGAACACTCTCTGTGGGTCTTGGAAGGTAGCCCCACAGATGAGGGGGACAGCCGCGCTCGTGAAGAATGGGTTCTTGCTGACTTGTGACACCACCGAGGAGGTGGCTGCGAAGCCTCGCTCTGGAAATGCGTCCTCTGTCCAGTGGAGATCGAGAGGGAAGATGTGTCTGGAATCATGGTTTCAGAGGTGTCAGCCCGTGCTCAGTCACTCTGTTCTTCTGGGCCTGCGGTGAATGTTGCAGGAACTTTCCCTGGTGAGATATAAACAAACGCTTTTCTTACTCCAGACAAGGCACCAATGACCAACCAGAGGGATGGCTCTATCCAGGCCTTCCTCGGTGAATCAATGAGCTTGTTTGGCCTATAGAGTCATGGGCGAGACGTTAGTAACAGGAGTGTGGGTGACTCCCAACAGCGATATTACTGAAACATCTCATCCTGGCATGGATAATGACTTCCTCAGAGCCGCACAGACAGGGACTTCCCAAGACTAGTCCAGCTACAAGCGGTACAGAAGGGAGTGGCTGCAACCTCAGATGGGTGTCCAGTGACCCGCCTCCTCCTCATCTGGTTTTACGAGGGAAGGGAACAGGCCTGTTCCTGAGGACCTCCTGTGAGCAGCCACAGCTGCTCCAGTGGAGACAGTAGTAACTGTTACGGTCAGAGGAAAGCGTCCCGTAGCAGGACAGAGTATCTTGGCAGAGCATCCCATAGCAGGACAGAGCAAAGCTTCTCACCTCCCAGAAGCCAGCAAAAAGAAAATCGGGGAAGGGCTGGCCTCCCAATGTCCCCTTCAAGGACAGGCCTCAAGGGACCTAATTTCCTCTCACTTGGCTCTACCTTTTAAAGGCCCCACCATTTCCTAATAACACCACATACTGGTACCAACACATGAGCCTTTGGGGACACTTCAGATCTGAACTATAGAACCTGCTGAAACCCTACCATCAAACGGTAACTCCTTGCTCTTCTCCTTCCCTAGCCTCTGGTAATTATTTTTATTTCTGTTTCTGTAATTTGACTCCTCAGTGTACCTCATTCATCCTTTTGTGACTAGCTTATTTCAGTTAGCACAATGTCATTAAAGTTCATGGATCAGAATTGTGGTGATATTTGTAATCTAAGACATAAAGCTTGCCTGAAGATCAGAGGACAGAGCCAGCCACAGAGTTAACATAGAGGACAAGCTGTGGGGGCAGCAGTGGGGGCACACACCTTTAATCCCAGCACTCAGGAGGCAGAGATCCATTTGGATCTCTGTGAGTCCAAAGCCACACTGGGCTACATGAGATTGATCCAGGCTAGGAGAGAGACGGAGCCAGGCAGTGGTGGTGCACACCTTTAACCCCAGTATTTGGGAAGCACAGATGCCTTTAATCCCAGCACTAGGAAGGTTGAGATAGGAAGTGAAATGGCTGGGTGGAGAAAGGCATATAAGGTGTGAGCCAGGAACTAGGGCTTTTTGGCTGAGGACTCAGAGGTATTCAGTCTGAGGATTCATGGGGACAGGATTGGCTGAGGAGTTGGTGAGGTGAGAACTGGCTGTGGCTTGTTCCTTTGTTTCCTCTGATCTTTCAGCGTTTGCCCCAATATCTGGTTCTGGGTCATATTAGATATCATATCATATCAGGGTCATATTAGATGGTGTGTTAGTATTTTTATTACCATGACAAATAACTTACAGAAACATTTTAAAACAGGAGAGATTTATTTTGGATCATTTCCAGAGGTTTTAATCCATAGTCTGCTGGCTCCAGTAGTTTCCACCATCGTTCAATACTGTCATTAATTTCTAAGTCAGTGGGTTAGATGTCCAACCTTTTAATATTGGGCTATATTCCTAGCTATCCTGGGATGCAGCCTGAGAACCACAGGTTGACACTCTGGGTTCATCCATGGATAAAATCGGAGGCTTCATGATATAATTGCCTCCCCAGAGCCCATCAGCTGATAGCCACACCTTTAATACATTCGTTTTTTTGGAAGGCATTTCACATCCAAATCACCACATGCAATAAGTTTATATTTCATCTGTTTAGGACTTACGTACTGTTCCAGATGACCACTTTACATATGCCATTTCATGTAATACTCATGGAACTTCTGAGAGGAAGGACCATTGTTCTGTTCTGTTCTTTTCTTCTTTCTTTCTTTCTTTCTTCTTCTTCTTCTTCTTCTTCTTCTTCTTCTTCTTCTTCTTCTTCTTCTTCTTCTTCTTCTTCTTCTTCTTCTTCTTCTTCTTCTTTTGGTTTGGTTTGGGTTTTCAAGACTGGGTTTCTCTTGTGGAACACTCCTCGCTGTCCTGGAACTCACTTTATAGACCAGGCTGGCCTCGAACCCACAGAGATCTGCCTGCCCCTGCCTCCGAGTGCTGGGATTAAAGGCATGCGCCATGACCGCCCGGCTCGTTGTTTATGTCTTAATATATGAGGAAATATGAATCAGAGGGAGTTAGCTTGCCCGTGGCCAGAGGGCCAAACAGTGAGAGAGCAGGAGCAAAAGCAAACATCGCAAGTTCACATCACAAGGTGCCTGTAGTGGCTTGGGAGTCACCGGAGTGTGTGTGTGTGTGTGTGTGTGTGTGTGTGTGTGTGTGTGTGTGTGTGTGTGAAGGAGCTGGGACTGCCAGTTGCTGGTGAGTGAGAAAATGGTGCAGCTACTGTGGAAAATGGGCTGCAGCCCCTCAGTTAAGGGTAGAGTTGCCATCTGCCCCAGCAATTCCATTCCTAGGCATTTACACCCCTCCCCAAATAAAAACAAAAAGTCTAAAACCCAACAAAACAAATTGACCGTGAACTTTCATAACAGTGCAAGTCACAATGGTCAAAGGGCAGAAGCGGCCCAGAAGCTCCACGATGGATGGACAGAGTGTGGCACATCCGCATGGTGGCTGTCACTCAGCAATAAAAAGGAAGGAGGAGCCAGTGTGTGTTGCAATGTGGGTGAACCCCCAAAACGACAATTCAAAGAAGCTGCCACAAGAGGCCTTTCTGTGCTATTCCGTTCACATGAAGTAACCAGAAGAGCTGAACCCACAGACAGAGGCAGATCAATGGCCGGCAGGAGCTGGAGAATGGAGTTCTGGGGACTGAGTAGTGTGATGAGGGCTCTTATGGGGAATGACAGTGTGGAACTAGATGGTGGGGAGGGTTGTCAACAGCGTGAATGTTCTAGAACCTCTGCATGGCATTCTTAAGATGAAGACACACACACACACACACACACACACACACACACACACACACACACACACAAATTGTTGAATATTTTTGGTTGTTTTGTGTTTAAGACAGGGTCTCATTCTGCCCATCAGGCTGGCCTAGAACTTACAGTAACCCTCTGCCTCAGCCTCCCAAGCGCTGCGGTTACAGATATGAGCCACCAACCAGCTTCTTTTTTCTTTTTTCTTTTTGCATATGAAATAATGAGTTTCAGTATGAATCATTACAGGCTTCTGGCAGGAGTGTCACCTGAAAAATGTTATCAGAAGCAGCTCCACAGAATGACTTAAACTGGGTGAGCCATTTCTTTATTCTGTTTGAATGATTTTTGAATATAATTTTGATTAGAGTATTTCACACATTCCAAAACCCGCAGAAAATACAACACCTACATGCCTGTCGAACATATCAGCAGAGGTTAACATTTTGTCATATTTACTTCTGATTTCTCTACTTAAACAGTCAAGTATTACAAATACAGGCTTAGACACACACACACACACACACACACACACACACACACACACACACACACACACACACACGCTAAAAATAGTCTATCTAGTAGCCAAGAGTTGGGGGCAATCTCAGCATCTACCACTGGGAGCCCCATTAACTAAGTCCATGAAGCCGATATTCCATACCGTTAAAATGGGTTTCCTTAAACGGCGTTAGGGCTGCCGAGGGTGAGAAGGGCATGCGTCATAGTGCAACTGCTATGGGCTTTTCATCTGTTTGCTTCCCAGTTTCACTAATGATTACAGTAGGGTGGCGGGGTGTTATAAAAAAGACCCACAAACCGGTGGTTTAAAACAACACAAATGTATTCTCCCATGGTGACAATGTCAGCAGGCTCTGAGGGACATCTCTCCCCTGCTCTCTCCAGCTTCTGGTGGCACAGCACTCTGACCTCTGCTTTCCTGTGTGATCCTGTGGTGTCTCTGTTCCCCGCCTCCTGATCTTGAGATGACAGCCACTGGAGAAGGGCTCACTCGAACTTGAATCAAGGAAACCCGTTTTAACCATTACATCTGCAAAGCCCCTATTTCTCTTTTTGATTTGTTTTTTTGGAGACAGAGTTTCTCTGTGTAACCCTTGCTGTCCTGGAACTTGCTCTGTAGACTAGGCTAGCTTTGAACTCATAGAGATTCACCTGCCCCTGCTTTCTGAGTGCTGGGATCAAAGGTGTGCACCACCACCGCCTGACCTTTATTTTTTAATTATCTTAGAAGATAGCGGATTTCCTTATTGTTTTTTTTTTCACATATACTTAGCTTTGGTTGGCCCCCACCCTTCCTAATTCTGGTATTGCCCCTTCTACCTTTATATGCTGTGTTCTATCAGCCCCCCAAAAGCCTCTTTTCCTCCCCTCTTGAACCCCTTTCTGATTTTCTGCCATTACAAACACTCATTTTCATATAGATACATATAAAAATGAGAAACTAGGACGGATGGTGGTGGCGTACACCTTTAATCCCATTACTCGGGTGACAGAAGCCAGCAGATCTCTGTGAGTTCGAGAGCTACACACAGAGAAACACTGTCTTGACACCCCCCCAACCCCCCCCCCCCCAAAAAAAAAAGAAAAGCTAAGTTTGTGTATGAGAAGATGTGATGTTTATCTTTCTAGGTCTGGGTTATCTCACTTACTATTTTCCAGTTCCATGCATTTTACTGTAAGTTTCATAATCTTATTTTTCTTTATGGCTGAAATAAACTCCATTGTGAGTATGTACCATGGTTTCATTGTCCATTCATCTGTTGATGGACACCCAGGCCGATTTCATTTCCGTGATATTTTGACTAGAGCAGCAATAAATATTGATGCACAAATATCTCTATGGCAGGATACCGAGTTCTTTGAGTAAATGCCTAGGGGTATAATAGCTGGGTCACACAGCAGTCCTATTTTGGTGTTTTTGTGGCTACATTCCTGCTAGGATAAAGGTTCTCCTCCCCTGCATCCTTCGAACATTACTGTCGTTTGTCGTCTTGAGGAGAGCGAGACACTCTTACAGGGGTGAGACAGAACTCCAAATAGTTTTCATTTGAGTCTCCCTGATGGCTGTGGATGTTGAACACTTAAAAAAATGTGTTGTGGAATATTACTTTGACTAGGCAAAGATGTGTTACTTTTGTTTATGCTGCATTTGTTTAACTGTGTAAAGACTGATTCATTGATCCAATAAAAAGCTGAACAGCCAATAGCTAGGCAGTAGAGGGATAGGTGGGGCTGATGGGCAGAGCAAAGAGGTAGGAGGAGGAATCTAGGCAGGAGAGAAGAGAGAAGGGAACGAGGGAGAAAAAGAAGGAGATGCCTGGGGCCAGCCAGTCAGACACAGAGTAAGATATACAGAATGAAAGAAAGGTAAAAAGCCCTGAGGCAAAATGCAGCCAAAGAGAAACAGATTAAATTAAGTTATAAGAGCTGGTGGGACAAGCGTAGGATAAGGCTGAACATTCATAACTAATAAGAAGTCTCCATGTCATGATTTGGGAGCTGGTTGGTACAGGGTTTCTCTGTGTTGTTTTGGTGCCTGTCCTGGATCTCGCTCTGTAGACTAGGCTGCCCTCGAACTCACAGAGATCCGCCTGGCTCTGCCTCCCGAGTGCTGGGATTAAAGGTGTGCACCACCGTCATCTGGCTAGTTTTCCTTCTTTTAGATTAAAAAAAAATTCTATGTATGTGTGTGTATCTATGTGTGGGTTTTGAGCAGCACAGTTCAGCTGAGAGCCATTCGGATATGAGGACACAGAGGTTTCCAGTCTGAGGAAACAAGACCAGCTGAGAAGTTGGCCAGGTGAGGTTAGCTGTGGCTTGTTCTGTCTCTCTGATCTTCCAGTTCACCCCAATACCTGCCTCAGGTTTGATTTTATTAATAAGAACTTTTAAGATTCCTGCTACAGACACCCTTGTCTTTTCTGTAATGGAAATGCTCCCCCCAACACACTTAGTGTAAGTGTTGGCTGTGGGTTTATTTTATATAGCCTTTACTGTCTTGAGAGATGTTTGCAGTGTCTTCAAGGATTTTATGAGGAAGGGATGGTGGATTTTGTCAAAAGCATTTTCTGTATACATTGAGATGGTCATGATATTTTTGCCTTTGAGTCCATTTATTCAGTGTTATACTTACTGCAGAGAATCACCCCTACATCTCTGGAATAAAGCCAATATGATCATGGTAAATGTCTTTTTGACGTATTCTTTTATAAAAAAATTATTTTAGGTTTACCAGAGTTTGCCTGCATGTATGTCTGTGTACCACGTGCATGCCTGGTGTTCCCGGCAGCTGGAAGAGGGCATCGGATGCCCTGGGACTGGAGTTATTTATGGAGGGTTGTGAACTGCCGTGTAGGTGCTGGGAATTGGATCGACTTTGAGAATAATCCAGGTGGGAAAGGTGGCTGTGCAGGGCAAGCTGGCGCACGGAGGGGCACAGGCCTAAGGGACAGTTATTACTGGGAAGCTACAATGTCTTTTTAGGTGAAAAACCAAGGTGGAGAGAAGTGCCTACTGTGTGCAACTTGTTATCCAACGAAGAACAGAAGGAAAATGACTGTGTTTGCACTGAAAGACCCTAGCCCTTCAGGCTTACACCCCCAAGCCTCAGAAAGAGAGAAACTTCAAGCACCAGGAAATGAGAAACTAAAAATCTAGTTCCAAGGGCCATCTGACTCAGCCACTACTCAATCACCCCTGTAACAATATAACAATGTAAAAAGATTTTAAAAATTTCTGTTAAGAGATGTGCTCAACTGTGACTGGGATAGTGGCAAGTGTTCCAGGAAGGACCACTGTGACCTTTGTGTAAACTCGACTCCCGCCCTGATACCCCCCTTGAGGTTTCAGGAAGAATGTACATGTGGATGTGACTGTACCCACTCTGTGAACAGACCATGTTCTTGTGAAACGAAATTGTATGGGAATTGTAATCTTAGGGCTTTTGTGGGTTTTTCCTTTAAAAGCCCCCATGGGGCTGCAGTAAGAGGCGGCTCTTGCTCTTAGGAGCAGAGTTTGCCCTTCTGTACAGAAGCCAATAAATTCCTCGTACTGTTGCATCAACTGGACTGGAGTCTGGGTTCTTGGGGCGCCCACTTGACACCCTAAACTTTGGGGTTCAACAGCACTTCCTTCTGTTAAGACACCGTGGAGGAAATCATAAAGTAGACAGTGGCTAGCTGTGGGAGAGGAAGTGAACCGTACTGCAGATCAGAGCAGGAGTTTATCCATTTCACTAGCAAGGCCTCAAGATGTCAGGGCCGTTGCTCCCTCTAGCGGTAAGATCCAGACCCGTCCTTGCCGTTTTGGGTGCCTGGCATTCCTTTGTGACTTGAGTGTGTGGCTCTTGTTTTGGTCACCAGAGCTCACGTTACTTTCTCTTCTCCTAAATTGTCCTCTGGCTCTTCCAGTGCGATTTCACGTAGCACTCCCAGGCAATGCAGACTCCCAGGCAATGCAGGATGACTTTGTCTATCTCCAGATCCCCAGTGATCTCTTTCCCCACCACTTTCCCTTGAAACGAGAGTGCTTGCCCCGGCTCTCATGAAACGCTCAATTCAATCCCCAGTGTAATTCTGGCACTTGGATAACAAAACAAAACAAAAAACAAAACACAACACAACACACCACACAAAACAAAACAACAAAAAGTTCCACATTCACAAGTCCAGGAATTAGGATGTGGATGTGTTTGGGGAGCATTGTTCCAGAGCTGCCACTGCTGCTTCTCCTTTTCCTCCTCCTCCCCCTCCTCCTCCTCCCCCTCCTCCTCCTCCCCCTCCTCCTCCTCCTCCTCCTCCTCCCCCTCCTCCTCCTCCTCCTCCCCCTCCTCCTCCTCCCCCTCCTCCTCCTCCCCCTCCTCCTCCTCCCCCTCCTCCTCCCCCTCCTCCTCCCCCTCCTCCTCCCCCTCCTCCTCCCCCTCCTCCTCCTCTTTTCTGAGACAGGGTTTCTTTTTTTTTTTTTTTTTTTTTTTGGTTTTTCGAGACAGGGTTTCTCTGTGTAGCTTTGCGCCTTTTCCTGGAACTCACTTGGTAGCCCAGGCTGGCCTCGAACTCACAGAGATCCACCTGGCTCTGCCTCCCGAGTGCTGGGATTAAAGGCGTGCGCCACCACCGCCCGGCGAGACAGGGTTTCTATATGTAGCCTTGGCTGTCCTGCAACTAGGCTCGGCTTGAACTCACAGTGATCCACCTGCCTCTGCCTCCCAAATGCTGGGATTAAAGGGCTTCTTAAAAAAATTTCCACTCAGGCCTGGAGGCAGAGGTGCATGCCTTTAATCCCACCACTCGGGAGGCAGAGCCAGGCAGATCTCTGTGAGTTTGAGGCCAGCCTGGTCTACAGAGCAAGATCCAGGACAGGCACCAAAACTACACAGAGAAACCCTGTCTTGAAAAAAAAAATTCCCACTCAGAAGATTCTATGTGGCCCTAGGTACATAGGTTACAAACCATGCACACAGGGACTGAAGGGATAGGTGGACCCATGGTGAGGAGCACAGGCTGCTCTTTCAGAGGACCCCGGGGCATTTCCCGACACCC